ATTCACATTACAGCAGAAAAACAAGACTCTTGCTTTGCACAGTCTGCATTGCTCCTCGCAGGATTTTAGGTAATTTCGCATTGTACGACTATAACGTAGGCTGAGTAACGATAGAAAACAGAGTTATGTACTCTTCTTCCTGGTCAAAACCTGACGCCTACATCACGCACTCGACCGTCGACAGTTCAGCTGGAGCTCCTCCTTCTCGTTTGATATTTGGGATTGTTATGCTAGTCGCAGCTAATAGATGAAAGTAGACTCGTGGACTTTTTTCATTTTCAATCTTGTAGCCTTCGGCACCGACACCGACTCAATTGTGAGGCTGTTTTTAAGGCTTTGCACACGTCCTTCCAACAACAGGCTATATACAACTTTTTACATCTGCAGTAGCACTCCCCAAGACCTGTAAACAGATTTTGTAAAGTGTAAAATCTGAGTTGCTCTTTAACAATAGCTTCTAAATAAACCAGGAAGATTGCAGGGAACAATGTGAACGTTAACAGAATTTATAATCAGTACTGAGACTCAGCGTTTTACTAACAGACCTGGTAACAAAATCTGAAGGCTGATATTTCACCCAGCAAACATTTTCAGTTTGTCTCAATATATTGACGATTTGTTAGTGTACAGTTTCACTCAGTAACACTGCTCTTTAATTTAGCCTCCATCTTAAATTGCAACCACGCTGCAAACATCAGTGCAGGACTGTCACAATAAAACCAATGAGGAAGGCTCCTATAAAAGCCGTTTTTCCACATTAATGAGAGTACGGCTGTCACAGCAAAAACTGCAGAAACAGTCCCAATTTAGATAATTGTTAACCCTAATGCTGTTGTCAAGCATAACCACAAAGAGAGATGTTGCTTTTGGGTTTAGGAAGTGGGCTGCATTATCTGAACTTAAGACACAAACTATGTGGTGGGACACAGACTACAGTGTGTGTAAAGGAAGAAAAGCTTTGCTTCTAAACTGGTCCACACCTGCTGCGACTAGTATTATTTTACATCTACAGCAGTTAGCTCTCATTCAGTGTGACTAATTACTTCAGTTAACATAACTGGCCAAGAAACACAGTCAGTCATGCAGTTGCAGTGTTAGATCTGCTGTAGTGACACCCTACACAGATGATTTAGTTAATCAGACACTGATCTGAAGAGACAGTGGTGCAATTAAACACCGGCAGGCACAGCAGACCCTACACATCATTTGAGGTGAATGTGTTCTTTCATGATCAGGATGATTTTTTCTTTGTTTCATGAAATAAGACAAATGAATTAACATCTTAAGTGGCTACTGTTGTTTAAATGATCCTTTAAAAACATGAGGATGAAAACGGGGGTGGACCCCTTAAATCTGGATCGAATTAAAACACAGACATGCACTCACTCACCCACCCACACCCACACCCCTCTCTCTCTCTCTCAGTCACATTTATTTCAGGGTAAATACTGTACTTGGTGTGATGGGAGTCCCTACACTTTGTCACTATTGCAGCATTAGCACAAGGAACAGAATACACACTTACAAATCTTAAGGGTCTTTACCTAGAGAATACCCTCTTGATATTATCCCACACGCTAGCCACTGTGCTAGTTACTTTATAGGAGAAACTAGGATGATAGGGAGAAGAGGACAGAACAACGAGTCAGAGACAATACTCAAAAAACAAACCATTTCATGGGAACAAAAATAGAAATCATCCACTGACTGAGGGCGTGGATTAAAAGAGAGGGCTGGCATTTGTAAATGTGTGTGCATGCGCAGTTTCTCACGTGTCCTTGCGCATCCTCAGGTGCTCAAAGGCCAGCAGGCCGCGCGAGTTCAGCGACATCAACACATCTCGCCCTTCCATAATGTCCAATCGGAAGGGCCGGGCGCTCACGATGACCCTCTGAGACTCCGCCCCCAGAGACAGCACCACCCCGTTCTCGTCCTGAGACAAGAGAGACAGGCTGAGGCCGAGAGAGGGAGGGGAGAGGAAGTTAAAGAGAGGGAATTAGTTTACAAAACGGAAAGTGATGGAACAAAGAACTCAATCTTTATCTACTCACTATCTGCATGTCATGTCCCTTGTTAAATCCCAGTAAAGCCAAACTAAATGTCAAGGTTGAACATTTGAAATCTGAAAAGGCTCTTTTGTCTCACTAGGAGATTTTTTGTTGCAGTTCTAACTATTTCAGTATCTCTGTTGCTCCATTTTAATCCAAATATAGCTTGTACGCCATATTTTTGTCCTATAAGCTATATTTTTAACAACTAGCGGGACTAAAAGTTAAGTTTGTCTTTTTGCATTGCGATATCAAAACCACCCACGCCACACAGTCAGTAACACCCTTGGGAGACTTACGGCTCAGTAGGTGGCTCCCTGATGAGCACGTCGGGAACCTCATAGCGAGGCTTCAGAGGCTTCAGCTCGTTAATCTTCACCCTCGTTATGTTTCCCTGGAGACGGTAGAGCTCAAGCAGCAGATGCACCTGAGAGAGACACAGAGAGAGAGAGAGACAGAGAGAGAGAGACACAGAGAGAGAGAGACACAGAGAGACAGAGAGAGAGAGAGACACAGACACACAGAGAGAGAGAGAGAGAGAGAGGCAAGGGAGGGAGATACAGGAGAAAAAGGAGCGTACAGAGGAATTTCATTATTATCTCATAAACACAACAGCACAGGTCAGCAAATGGGTTCAGCCAAGGGCCAGTTTTTTTTCCATCAAAGTGTAAATAAAGTCTTAACATTTTCACTGAAATTTCATTGAGCAGAGAAGCCGGTCTGGAAACAGGCTTATTAACATATGTGCCATATTTATAAAGACCTGATATCAAGACCATAATTGTGAACTCTGTGTGTGTGATTTACCTTATTGTTGTCATTGATGAGCTGCAGGGTGAGTCTGGTGTTGGTCAGCTCCATGGTCTCCAGCAGGGCTCGATAGGGAGACTCGCCAGGCTTCAGTGCTCGCTGACGCCTGTTCAACATTTAATAACAGGATTCAGCACCAGTGATAAATCAGTACCAATACGCTTTTTTTTTCTCCTTTGGAAGTAAGTAAATGTATTATTCTCTCTTCTATCTTGCACTCACTTGCAGAAGGCACTCTGGTCACAGGTCTTGAAGTTGCCCCTGTCCACAGCCAAAGTCCCGCTGAGGGACACGGCCAGCCAGAGCAGCAAGACAGGTGCCATCCTACAGAGACAGTCAGGGAGACAACCAACACTTAGGATGGTTAAGGCTATTCACCAGCTCCAGTTCATTCACCCACATGTGATTGAGCAATGCCACAGTACTCAAGAGCACTCCAGCCAAACTACAGCACATGTACAGGAGTTAACTCACTCACACACACACACACACACAGACTTTGATCTCTGTGGTGGTAAAATGTGTCCCCAAGTGAAAAGCAGCGCCAGAAAATGTCACACAACCCATTTCCCGTTTCCTCATCCTGCTGCAGCTTCAGTGTTCATATATAAACTGTAAAAACCTCGTTCACGTTAGACCCCGGGCCCTTGCACGTAAATACTGTGTATTACTGACAGTGTTTACTGAAGTGAAGAGCTTTGAAAGGACGCCAGGAGACAGCATTAGCTCACGTCACAGCTACAGCTAATGTGGGCTAAAAGTCAGCTAACACTCAAAGCGGAAATCTGGGGAAATAAATCAGAAAACTGCTCCAAATTATGAACCTTACAACAATAACGCATAGGTTTTATTAGAGGCGGATTAACGCCTGGTTGTGTGACAGCAGTGCGGTCGTGAATTACCTCTACGGATCAGGATATCGAGCTAACCTTGCTGTCAACTCGATAATTCAATTGAAGGAAGATTTCGACTTTTTCCAGTATTTTTCCTCCCTGAAGGCCGATAAAACCCGCACACACCGCGTTTACTCACACTCCCAGTAAGTGTGTACCCACCGCGGTGATCTCTGGCCTCCAGCGGGCTGATAACACATCAAACAAATGATAAATCCGCGATGAAACAGCGGACCTGCTTTGTCTTACCTCTCAGTGAAGGCGGCCATCTTCATCATGCTCCGGTTAGACTCCGCCCTCTTTCAGTCCGCAGCAAAGATCGTTAAAAAGTAAGACTCTCCATTCATCTTTATTTAATAAAACTCACTAATAACAACGCGAATTAAATGCCCCTGATAACAACCCGTGCCTCTCTGTGTTTAACCTGAATGTTGTGTGTTTTGTCTGATAACTGGAGGATGTGTGTGTGAGTGTGTATCCTCTCAGGCACCGACACGTCATCGCCGGGCTGCAGCCAGTGAAGTTCACACATTTGTCCAGGATTTGTTCCCCTGCTTGCCCTGGAAAAGATTTCCAAACCAATGCGACGCACAACACAACGTACACGGTGCAAACACGTGTACAGTCTAATGCAATACAACACTACAGCCCTGCAAGACACCCTTGGAGAGTATGTGTAGTGTTTAAGTTATGATAACACATCCTGTTCTTTGTCATCTTGTGAAATGCTGTCTCCTCGGGGCCTCTAATTCCTTCAATCTGAGAAGAAATAACTAAATCACTAAAGGACGTAACCTGCGATATGTGGGGCTCGACATCCATAATGTTATTTTAAGGAAGTCACAAGAAAAGTAAAGATTAAACTCAAACAAGGGCAGGAAACAGGTGTTTCCATTATTCTGTTCAGTAGGATACAATGTGGGGTTAGATGTGTCTTAAGGGGTCAAGATGATTGTGTAAGAAAAACAATATTATGCTAGAAGATGTTATGTTTGATTTTCAGAAAATTGTGTTATTTTGTTAGTATATTTTTACCTCGTGAGGCCTCTAAGGACCATCCACTTCCCTGTGACTTAAGGCTTCGTATAAAGGGTTAACAAACAAAAGAGGTTAGAAACTACTGGCTTAGAGGATTTCCCAAACGTAAAGAATGTGGTAAGAAGAGTTTGATCATTTTAATCCCCAAGAAAGTCCTGTGGGAATACATTTAAGCAACAACGCAGATCCTCAATTCAAGACACATTCTAGGACCAAATGAAGATTTATTTTGTAAAGTGGTTGAAAACAACAGTTTGCATGTATAACTTGAGGTACAATGTGTGTCTATAGCCACAATTTCAGAACATGAACAAATGATACAAAAACAAAAATGGTTTAGCAGAGTTAAGTTGTATTTTATAACCGAAATGACACATTAAGGCTGAATTTTGTGTGGAGCGAACTCTGTATTAACATAATATACATGTGTGCCATGTCTCTCCCCGTCTTTCTCACAGAAACAAGTAGTTAGAAATGTATCAAGTCTAGAAATATGGTACAAAAGGTTTATACACACACACACACACACGCACACACACTGACACACGCACACACACACACAGCTATACTTGTATGAAACTGAAGTACAGTGATAACAACTTTGCAAACCTCTCTTGGAGCAATGTAACACATTACTTATTACCGTCTACTTTATAGTCTCTATGTATTCCCTGTCACCTGCTCCTACGACCCTTTAGAGCTGGAACCGCCAGCACAGGTGTCCCAGTCTATCGATGTTTTTATGTAGGACGCTGTGAATTGGTGCCACGTATCTTGCCACGTCACCGTCCCGTGAGAAATCCCTGCAGAACAAGCCCTTCTCTGAGCTGAAGACAAACTTCTGGGGCATGGGCCCATTGCCTCTCACGTACTCCCACACAGCAAGGAGCAGAAGCCTCACCTCGAAGGGAGTGAGGTGGGGGAAGGCTTCGTGGACGTTGGCCAGCACGGGAGGCAAGAGCTGGCCCTCTCCCATGCAGGACACCAGGAGGCAGGAGGCCTGGAGGTGCCATGGGGAGTCTGTGGACAACCCCTCGCGGGACGCCTCCCAGTGGGCCAGCAGAGTGGCCAGGAGGCCTCTGAGGACAGCTGAGCAGTAGCAGAGAGCCGGGCGTCCAGCCGCCACCACCTGAAGCAGAGCGAAGAGCACCGGGTGGGCCTCAAAGCAACGCCGAATGTGGATGTCTCGCTCCACCGTGGTGCGGGCGTGCTCTTCTGGGGGCCAGGACAGCTCACCGTTGGCCACGTCCGGACAGACGTTCTCCACCAATGTGACTGCAACAACCTTAGCTGCCTCGGCGTTGATGGGCACAGGCTCGTCAGGGTCCGATGGTGGTCGCGCGCCGTTAATAGAGCCGTTGAGGCCAGAGGAGCTGCAACACTGCACTATGACAGCCAGCAGAGTCTGGACGTTCTACGGACAGAAGAAAAAGATGATGGTGACACCTATATAGTTACCTCTAACAAATAAGATTTTTTTCCCCATCAAATGAAAATGTAGTTTCAAGGTCAAACTGAAAAGCTGCTGAAATGTGTGTTCACCTACTTCATATATAAAAAGCACACCCCAAATTTGTATCTAGGTTTAAATGCACTGCTGTTATCGTACTCAAATCTCAAACTATACTCAAAACTCACCTGGATCACCCCAGATGGGTCAGGCGGCTGGGTTGCAGTGCGGACCTTCAGCCCTTTGCCAATCACGCCAGCATGAAACACAGACCAGACGCTGCCAGAAAAGTTGACGGTGGTACCGAACCGACAGTTGATATCCAGCAAGGAGGCTCCGAGGTCAGGGGACACAGATGGGGTGGTCACGGGGGCACCAGACATGTCCGCGATCTGCCCTCCAAACAGGTCAGCGTGGCCTTTATGTAGCGCTCCCTCAACCAGCTGCTGAAGTACCGCTTTGAGAGTGAGCGGAGAATACGCTGCGAAGCGGGACAGGAGCAGGACCGAACAGTTCACTGCCTCGTTTGCCTGTCCCCCATCTCTCCCAACCTTCCCAGCTTCTCCTCTTCTCCGCAGCGCCATGAAGAAGTGAGTGACGGCAGCACGGGAGAGAAGGAGCAGGTGTGCTGGGGAGGAGGCGCGAGGGAGTGGGCTACAGGACAGGAGGCGCACCGCAGCATGAGATACAGCCGGGTCACCGTGGAGAAGGAGTGGACCAAAGTCATGGAGGTGTCCTGAGACCGCTGAGCCCACCTGGATGGCCATGGAGGACTGAACACCCGCTGCTCCTCTTCTCTCCTCATCCTGACTCTGGATGGCTGCAGCCAGGTTAAGCAGCAGCTGCCTCAGCTGCCGGGGCCCCAGAGTGTGTGTGTGGATCTGGGCCACACAGCGAGTCACAGCAGCAGGAATGAGTCCCGCCATGCAAGAGGACAGAGTGGTGTGGAGCTGCCAGGCCAGAGCCAGCTCCTCTGGGTTGCGGGCCTGGGTGAGTAGCTGGCAGAAGGCCTCCGTGGCCACACTGGGACCCCCATACACCGACAGCAGACACAGCAACTGGTGCAGCCAGAGGTGACGCTTCCTCTCCAGTCGCAGTGTCTCGGCGCACAGCTCACCTATGTGAGACTGCAGCTCCTCCAAGAAGGGGATAACCCTCTGGGGCTGAGAGGACCCAGAGTGATGGGGGTTGACCTCAACACCATCCGAGCGGTTGAAGACTAGTTTGTGGAGGTGAAGAAAAAGCATCTGGAGGAGGCGATCGCAACCTTCCCTGACTCCTTCATGAGGGGAGGGTGTAGGGCCGGAGATGATGACGGAGGCCGGGGTCGCTGTGTCTGCCAGAAAACGGAGGACCCGGGCGCCCCCTGATGGGCTCTGGCTAATAAGGTGGACAGCCAGCCCCAGCATGTTATCCAGTTCCTCCCTGGGGAGGCCCTGCAGCAAGGCCTGCAGCTGGAGCAGGACAGGGGGGCGTAGCAGCTCTACCAGCTCTGCAGACACCGCGCCAAAGAGGTTGGGGGACATTGCGGCCAGCTGCAGCAGAAATGGTACTGCGGCACGACGGAGCTGAGGGGAACTCTCCCAAGAAGTTGAGGACGTAGTGGGAGACATCGGGCTCGACGGACTCAGGCTTTCCTGAAACATCCTGAGCAGCTCCTTCCTGATGCTGTCTGAGTGGTGTGCTGCAAGGTGTCCAAGGATTCCCACCACGGAGCCAATCTTGGGCACTCTGCTTCCTTTATCCACTCCCATCACCATAAGCCCTTGGTCCTTAGCGCCATGTGAGCAGAAGTCCTTGAGTCCACATGCCAAGACTCGGCTGATGATAGTACCCGGGAAGGCGGAGCCGATGTGAGCCACCACCCAGTCAAAATGCGGGGAGTGCTGAACTGAGGTGTCCAACAGCGCGTCCACACAGGCGTCAGGGCACCAGGCCAGCATGGCGGCCAAACATTGGGAGTAGGCCTCCATGAGGGACCGGGTGGCAGCACAGGACATCCAGAGCTGGAGCAGCTCGTTGAGGCTGGAGGAGTGGGGGGCCACCCTACGGCCGGCGTGCTTGCTGCTCAGCTGGCCCAACAAGTCCACAGCCCAGGTGGACACCAGGGGGGCCCAGGCCCGGGGGTTGAGCCGGATGAACTCTGACAGCACGCCATGAACCTCCTACAGACAAACAGAAATGATTAAGATCATTTACCAGGAAACTTCCTGTCATATTTTTATGAATTCAAGAAAACAGATGTTTAGGTTAGCGAGATAGGGCCGGGTCTGGATCTGTTACTGTTTGTTCCTTTAAAAACGATTTATTTATTTACTTTATGCGATACAAACACACCTCAGTTGATTTGACAAGCAACCTCAATTATGTCTCTCTTTAATCTTAATAATTGGGCTGTAACAAACAATCATTTTCATTATGGATGAATTGTCTATAAAGATTTAGGTTCAGGTGATCTTTAAATTTCTTGTTTTGTCTAAAAACCCAAAAAATTGTCACAAAAGAAAAGCAGCAAGTTCTCACAACTGATAAGCTGGAACTAGGTCATATTTAGCATCTTAGCTTGAAAGATGATTATAAAGCGTGATCATAGTCATCAAAATTGCTTATAAACTGTCTGTCGATCAACTAATTGATTTATTAACTCTATGATTAAGGGCGATAAATTCAGCCATCCAGAGTCTGGTGGTGACATTAAGGTCAGGCCCAGAATCACATGTAACACTAAATATGTGGTTTATGTGTTCAAATGTGTAACTTATATTAACATAAGTGTTCAATTCGTAATCATGATGTTAAATCATCCGTAGACCCTTTAATAGTCATGAAAAAAAAATAAAAAATGGGCACTGAGACAGTGAAGCTCTCACAGAGAGGTGGCAATAGGGACACATTGGAAATTCATTTATGCTTATTTTTTATCAAGTATTTCAACGTCCAAGTGCCTGTGCTCCTCTGTTGGAATGTACTTGTTGTGTTGGATGTGATAAGCTATAATTAATTCCACCTCTGTATAACAATCTCTGCGCCAGGATACACGCTGAAGAAGGACGCTTTGCCCAAAAGTTTGTGTGGCAATTTTAAAAAGTTTAATGGGAGTGGTGTCCTAGTCTTTTCTTTTATGATTTAACACATTTAAGATCCAGCATGCTCTCTCTTTATAGTCTTAATGGGAGTTGAGTGTGTTGTGCACTATTTCATATTAATAATTCATTGACTCTACTATACTATCCATGTAAGGACTAAATGAAAATGGCCTGTTATGTTCTAATCTTATTAACTTTTAATATTTGCATCACTTCATGATCCAGTGTGTCTTTGTGTCATTGCACCTGTATGATGTCCTCCAGGTTGGAGCTGACCCCAGAGCCGCCATCACCCTCTGTCTCCAGGTTGTGCAGGAAGGCTGAGACATGCTCATCGTAAACGCCTCTCAGATGCTCCAGCACCGCCCCTCGACAGGCTGGGACAGAGCGAAGCAGGCGCACAGCACAGCGGGCGTGTTCCCGAACGCTGAGCTTCCGGCCCTGAACGGTGTCAACGCCACTGATGAAGGCCTTGATCTCCTGGGACAGTTCCTGGGCGCTAGAGGAGAAGGATGGACAGGATGAACGAGGTGGGAAGTTTAGCAGAAGCAGAACATGAAGCAGAAAAGGAAAAGAGGTGTGTGTCTATATGTGTGTGAGAAGGGAAGATTATTTCAGATTAGCCATAAAGATCTATTTATACATCACTACTAACAGTGAAATCAAATTGCAGCTTCCCAAACAGACCAAATAATATTTAATTTACTATTATCATAGTCGACTATTTGTTGTAGCTCTAATAGAAAGAAAGAAGTTTTAAGTCGGACAAAACAAACAATTTAAGGACGTCACTCTGATTAGTTTTGGTTTAGTTTTTACTATTTTCCAAAGTCTTACACACTAAATAAAATGGTCCTGATTAATTTTGTGTCATAAACTTATTGATTAATCGACTTGGGAAAACATTTATGAATAATTAAAATAAAACTTAAACCTAAAAACTTAAAACATACTTAATATATAATTCATTTAGATGTTTTATAAAATAAAAATACCAAACATTTGCTGGATGCTCCTCTACAAATACTAGCTTTGCTCCAATTGATAATATTTCCAAAGCTGCAACGATTCATTGATAAGGTGTCAACTATCAAATTATTTGCCAACTTTTTTGATAATGGCTTAATCCTTATTCTCCTATTTCAGCTTCAAATGTGATTATTTTCTGGTTTCTTTAGTCCTCTAAGACAGCACACGGAATATCTTTGACTTGTGGAAAAAAACCATACATTTAAGAATGTAACTTTGGGCTTTGGGAAACATTTTCACCAATTTCTGACAGTTGATGGACCAAACAACTAATCGATTAATGGCGAGAATGATCCATAGATTAATCGATAATAAATAATTATCTTGCAGCCCTAATCATCAGTTGTTTTAGAGGTGTTCACCAGGACAGATTAATGTTTAAAACAACACATTAGACTCCAACAACCTGCCATGTGCACACTGTCTCTGTTCAACCTTTAATAAAGCACATGAATAATCGATTAACTGAGCAGTACTCAGTGCAGCCCTGACGACTATATTGTTAATCCAGTAAACTTTAAACGCCAGCTGCCTCTACACAACACCGTGGCAACACTGAGCCATTAATATTAGTGCAGTTAACTTAAACACAAAATAAAAACCATGTGCTGAAGTTGAGAGTGTAGCAGCAGACCAACCTCAGGGCAGTCTGCGGTGTGTGAGTGTGTGAGCTCTGCATCGCCTTCAGCGGACCGTCGAACACCACAGACATCGCTCGACCTCTCAACATTAAACAACCCTCACATCAAATGCTCCCCTCGGGCTGCGGGACTTGGACGTGAGCGACGTGTGACAGCTTTTACTTTATTTTCTCAGGACAAAAACACATCGACGGGTCGCTCCTGAAGCCGGAAGTTGGGATTTCTTCTTCGTTTTCTCCAGCGGCAAAGCGTCACTGACAGCTGGCGTCAGTGGCGACATCTGGTGGCCGTCTTCTTCGTCTGCTTCTGTCAGAAAGAAATTGTATCCATACCCAATGTTATATTATTATTATTGTGTTATTGTTTTATTGGAACCGATTTGTAAACAACATTGAACTGGAAAAGGGTTTGGATGATTCCTCACAGATACCTGATAGTAAACAAGGTGAAAGAAGTGTCGTTCACAATAATTTACAGATATTACCCTGCTAATCATTACGTGGTTCAATTTAAAAGAGACATCAATACAAACTGTTCTTTTTGTGGAGATCACCCAGAAACTGGTTTGCACCTCTTCTGGTATTTGCTTACACACCAGAACATTTTGGCAAAACTTGTGGGCAGAAACTTCACGCAGATTCATCATTGGTGACCCCGGTGAATTTTGTGTATACAAGACTTTCGCTTGGCATGGTAATCTTTTGTGGGCTGAAATGTTGTTTTGATTTTTTGCTTTTATAGGAAGAAGTCAGAAGGTAAAAGAAAATATGGTACTTCATTATAAATGTATTCATTCTGTTGGCAAAATTCCACATTCATAAATGTAAATTCAACAGAACAAAAACCTAATTTTGTACTTTTTCTCCATGAAGTTGTGCATTATATTAATTTGATTTCTGGCTCCAACAACAAAAAGGCGGTTAACTCTGTCAACATATTTTTAATAACATATAAGCTTCCCCTGGCAAAGCTTTATTTCACATTGTTTGTCTCTGTAAGTCACTTTTGAACTGTAACCCCATTTTTGCAATAAAGATGACTTTGAAATTTAAAAAAATAAAATAAAATAAATAAATATATATCTTCGTCTGCTTCTTTTTCTGATGCTGCTGCTTCTTGTTTTATGGTGGTTGGCATCCAGCATTTTATTTTTTTTAATCCATTGCCGCTATATTCTGCTTCTACAATTTGAATCCCTTTAAATAAAAACAAAACAACAATAATATAATAGAACCACACACAAACAAAACAAACTTCTTTATCTATCATATCCTATATAAAACTCCTGTAAATCCCTTAAAACAACAGTACTCTAACCTGTGCTCTCTCATTCATCCTCAGGTATTATTTCCTGTTCATCTAATTCCCTTAAGTTTTCCCTCATCACCTCTCTTTCTGTCACATACTTCCTACAACTCAGAACTACACCGACTCCTCTTCCTGACATCCCTCACACAACCCTGTCTGATGTTTCTCTACTATTTTCTCTGTTTTATTTAGTGCACTGTACTACTTCCTCTCTTCTGTTCCCGATGCCTTCCCTAGTTTCTTTAACAATCTTTTGATTATTATAAAGATGCCTCCCTTTCTCCTCTCTGTCCCATCTTTTCTGTCACATTTGGTTGTTTTTTTCCAGATTACATGTTTAACTGTTACATCTGGTGGTGCTGACAGGATTTATGTGTGTATTTATTACAACTATTTTAGTTGGTAAAGATAAGATGAAACTTTACTGATCCCCAAAGGTATAATGAAATTCAGGTTTTATATACAGTAAATTTGATCAATATGTCATAAAAATAAAAATAAACTATGATCCAATGTATAACCAGCCATCGATCACTAGTAACCTTTTACATGTGGCTATTAAAATGTTACCTAGTTATCAAATATATTTTAATATTACTATCTGTAATACCCACATAGGTAAAACTAATGCAGCCTAATGCAACATCCCTGCTATAAATCCACAAAGCTTATAACATTTAAACTGTTTTACAAAGGTGTTGACTCAATGTTATGATCATTTTGGAGGCTGCAAATTGTGGTAGTGTTATACTGCGAGGTCTTTTAATTATTATTTCAATGGTAATAATGAAATGATCATACAGTTGAATCAACACACTATTATTGTTGTTGTTGATGTTTATTTATTTATATATATTTTTTAAATACTTTATTTATTCATTTTCAGTACATCAAGGTAGATAACAACCCGAACAATTACCCCCTTCTTCCCACCCCCCTCCCCCAAAGCAGGTTGGAGAAAGTTGATGTTTATTTTTAAATTCTGACGTCGGGATGATGCTTTTATTGTGAAGGCCTGGGCTCCAAATAGCATCAATCAGCTGATCTCTCGCTGGGAAGCTTTTGGTGTCGAGCTCTTTGGCGGCGTCTCTGACATTAAAACGACCTGTGGGCATTATTGAACAGGTGAGAAAGACGGACTGTCGATTGATTCACATAAAGTAAACATTAATGTGAGCCGAGGGTCGTTTTGTCGACGCTACAGTGTTGTGATAGCTGATGTAAGGTTAGCTAGAAACCGTAGTTTGGATGTAAACAGTAAACACAGACCAGCTGAAGCTAATCACTACGCTAGTGTTCAGCTACTTTGATGCATCGTCTGCTTGTATTGTGTGCTGAACTTTAAAACTGTAGATTTATCTGCCACTGAGACGTTTTTTTGGGGGCAGTAATTTGACCCACTTAGCAGGTTGACAGTGAACTTAAGTAACATAATGTGTTAGTTCATTAGATACGCACATCAAAAAGTTCGTATATGCTGTTTAAAACCCTGTACAATAATACTCACACATTAATATTATACATGGACATTTAATTAAATACATTTAGTTCAAACTAATGCAGTCTTATACAATAATCCTGCTATAAATCCAAGCTTCATGAAAGTGATAGTGTTCAGTTCATTCAAGGTTGTGGTCATTTTCGAGGTGCAGTCTGTGCTGCTGTACCTCCAGAACTGACAGAGAAACAGCTCTCTGTATGAGGCAATGAACTAAAATAAATAACTGAAGGTCATGAAGGGAGGATTCATTGCAGCACTGTTGCATTTGACTATATGACTGTGGGTAGATGAGCTGTAATCACATGTCGCACATCATCTGGGTAATGGTTATCAACATGTGAGGGCAATATGCCTGATCACTGGTACAAGGAGTGATCACATCATGTGAATGGTGTCAATATTACACTGTTGTCTGTAATAGAGCCATGAAATGATTTGTTCCCACAGGTGCTGGAAGTGAAACCAGTCCAGGGTTTACAGAGGAACACTGACATGGCTCCCACACTGGTTAGGAAATGATCTTTTAATCAGAATATTAAATATTGGATTATTCTCTTTATTGGTTGTGTTTTATTTTAGCAATTATGTTTCATTATGCAACTTATAATAATTATACAATTGAGGAGTGTCACAGCTGCTTTGTAGTCTAATCTCTCTCTAGTCTTATCTTTGTTTAACCTAGATTGTGTCAGAGTCTGGTCAAATGTGTTGCTGCCAAACAAAGTCTGTTGCAAAGTCAAACATATTTTCCGTGTGTTGTAATCCCAGTATGATGAGAAACCGGAGCTTGGGGACTTGATAGAAATCTTCCGGGGCTCCTATCAGCACTGGGCTGTGTATGTTGGTGATGGCTTCGTGGTTCACCTGGCACCACCCTGTGAGTCCTTCCACACATCTGTCTGAACTGATATATACAATACAATAACAGCTTTATATGGCTGTTTATTATCTAAGAATATCAACTTAGATTGTTTGTTTGTTTGTTTG